AGTATTAAGTGTGGAATCCAGATTGCAGAGAGTTGGAAATAAGTGAGGTGTGTGTGTGTATGTGTGTATGTGTGTGTGTGTGTATGCACAAGTAAGTGGAGTCATCCAATAAGGAAATTCTTTTAAATTATTCTACTTTGCAGTTAAATGTCTCAGAAAATCTGGAGTTAAGCCGTTCCCTCCTTGTTGTTATCTATACTCATTTTTTTAGTGATTTCATCCACTCTCACGACTTTAAGGGTCATTGGTATGTTAGATTCTGATTTGTATCTGTTTATCTGAAGCCTCTTTCTCAAACTCTATACTTGGCTGTCCAGCTTCTTGGCTTTTATCTCCATCTGAAAGATGAATGGAGCCTTCTCCTCAGTAATGCATCCAATCTTTCTAGTTGATCAGGTCAAAATTTGGAGTTTCCCTCATGTTCCTCACTAATTCTGTGCTAAACCCTGTAGGTTCTACCTTTAAAATATATCCCACATCGGACTGTTTCTTACCCGTGCTCTGCCACTGTTATGAATTCTCACCAGAACTGCTGCAATGGGTCTCCATGCGTCAAACTTTACTGTGCCTGGCCTGCTTCCAACATAGCAGCCCAAGCAAACCTTTTAAAAGATGCAAGACCCTTCAGACCTTGTGGTTTCTTTGAGAAGAGAGTGCAGGGAATGTACTCTATTTATTGCAGTTCTGAGGATTGAGACTGAGCTCATTCCCTGTTAACATTTTTCAGATTTTGAAACTGGGTCTCACTAAATCACTAAGTTCCCAGGTTGGGCTTGAATGTGTGATCCTCTTTCCCCAGCTTCTCCCAGAGTGCTGCAATTACAGGCATGCCAGGTGAGGAATGTATTATGAATAGCAGAGGAAGAAAAAAATACGATTGGTGTCCTGTTTGAGAAAACAATTACTCAATGCTCCTTTTTTTTTTTTTTAAGATAGGGTCTTGCTGTGTAGTTCAGCCTGGCTCAACTTGCTTACATAGCCCAGGCTGGCCTTGAACTCATGGAGATCCTCCTACTTCAGCCTCCTGAGTGCTGGGATTACAAGTGTGCACCACCGTGCCTGGCTCAATGCTCATTTTTTAACAAGGGAGAAAGATGCTAGAAATTTCACCAAGAAAAGTGCAAATGCAGTTGTTATTTTCTGTTTTGCTTTGTTTTTGGTATCGGGAATCTGAACTCAGGAGCTTGCATTTGCAGGTAGGCACTTGTGCCACTGAGCTATATCCCCGGCCTATAGTTGTTATTTTAAAACTCCAGAACCAACACAGGGAAAGAAAGGGCAGGAGCAAATAATTTGGTCAGCAGTAACACTAACAGTGATCATCAGGCACTACCTGTGAATCGGGTAGAAACAGCAAGAGCCTATACTGATCTTACTTTGTCTTGTGATCCGAAAGTCCCTCCTGCCCAGCTGTTTTGGGATTCTCTATCAGTAAAACTTCCTCTAAAGCGTTAGGCCTAGTTAAGGCTCTGAAAGCACTAGGATGTTAACTCTTACAGTCTTTGTCCAATATTGCACTATTTACCCACAGATTCTGTATTTATTTATTTGTTGATTGATTGATTATAGTGTTGGGGATTTAACTGAGGTTCTTGTGTTTGTAGTTAAGTGCTTTACCACCGAATCCCAGATCCTATATTTAGAATTAATTCCCTCCTCTCCCTAAGTCAGCTTTCATCATCCCAGCTCAATGGAAAGTATGATGAGCTCTGTCCCTGGGATCACCCAGATAAAGTTGCCAGTGGGCCATGCTTGGACTTGTCAGGCCAAACCATAAAAACCCTCACCCACATGGATGCACAAAAATTCTACAACCCCCAACGTTAGGGCTGACATACAAGGCTTCAATAATCAGAGTACCACATTCTAGAATCAGAGAACACTTTGTCTGCTGAGACTTGGACTTGTTGATTCTTTGAAGGCGGTATGAAGAAACCAGTATTGATGGAACTCATTTCTATTACTGTGTGTTGCTGTAGTTTGTTAATATTTATCATTGTATGGTACCCTAGTGTTAATATATCCACAGAACATTAGATGGTTAATGATTTGGTCATTCTTTCTTTGGAATAGGTATAAACAATAAACATTATATGTTAAAAAAAAATGGAGGCGCATCCTGAGTCTCTTTATTAAACCATCATTTCTGTAGCAATCCCAAGGCCCCGGGTCACTCCTCTGATCTACCACCTACTACTTTCCTCCTTGGCTATTCCACCCAGTCAAATCACACCTTTAGTAGTCATCAAACCTGGCAGTCCCGGCTGGTCACAGAGCCATCTCACTGACCATTCCTCCTGCCTGCAATGTTCTTAAGATCTCCACAAGGCTCTCTGCCTCCTGTCCTTTATATCTACTTCCACGTGCCCTCTGTGAAGCCTGCGTGACCACACTGTCTAAAAATTGCCATTTGCAGCTCCAGTTCTCATTTCCCTTTATCCTGTTCTACTTTGTTTCTTCAGACAATTATTGTTTATTTTACAAAGGAGATATTTCCTGTTGTTTGTGGTGTAGTTACTCTCCCTCCCCAGGCTAGATGAGTGATTCTTTTTTTTTTTTGTTTTTTTTCAGTACCGCGGATCAAACTCATGACCTTGTGCTTGCCAGGCAGGTGCTTATGCCACTGAGCTATATCCCCAGCCCTCCCCAGGCTAGATGAAATGAGGTAGGAAGATAGGGTGTGTGGCCAGCTGGCTGGGCATGACTGTCAGTCGTGGAAATCCTGGACACTTGTGCAGAAAAACAGTTCCAAGGCTCACACCTGGGACTAGTCAGAAAATGCTAGTTTTCATTCTTCTGGCACAAAATCAAGCAGGCTTTTGATAGGATAGCCTGCATCTGACGTCAACCTGAGGAGTGGGGGACACAAAAGATGGTGGTCTGGTGGCTGCTGTTTGCTGTTTCAGCGGCCTGCTCTCACTGTGCAGAGCAAACTTCTTTCTCTTCCTTTAAAAAATGTAAAATCTTTTGTGCTTGTTTTGGCCAGTTCTTTGCTGAGGATAAGAACCTGGAAAGGAATCTCTAGAAGCAACCCACAGCACCTCAGGTTAATGGTAACAGAAAGCCTTAGAGAGTGGGATTTCTGTTTATTTGTTCAGATATAACATGTGAACTCCTAGCTATGCGTGGCCCATGGTAGGAGTTCAGTGAGTACTTACGAAGAGAGGAAGAAAATGAAAGGGAGGGAGAGAGAGAGGGAGGAAAAAGGAAGGAAGAAATTGTGCCTGGACAAAAAAGAAATAATAGGGTAATGGAACTGAGAAAAGAGTTTCTACGATGGGAAAGATTTGAATGTAGCTCACTTCTGAGGAATCCGTGGAGGATGAAAACACAAGAGAATGTGTTGAACTGGTTTTCTGAGCATATGAGAGAAATGAGATCTAGAGGACAGGTGATGGGATTAGTCCAGGGAGAAAAAGTCTGGGGTTGCACAGAGCAGTTTTCGAGCCTCATGAAGATCTCACCAATTCCTCAGCAAGGGTGCAGAGGCTAAACCTTTCTGCGGGATTTGTACTGCTATGCACGAATTGGCTGCTGGGAATCTGAGCCTCCCTCTTGATGGCTTGGCTTGGAAATTTTCAATCGACAATGCTCCCCACTGGTGCCAATCCCATCTGCTGTGATAAGCCAGCAGATGACCTGTGCAACTGCAGTGAACGAAGAAAGGCCAGGTGTTGATGCAGATAAGTCACAGGCTTATTGGGAGGATCCCAGGAGGAAGTGCTGCTCTTGTAGCTTCTGTTTTTTCTTCTGTTTTCCACAGGAGCAGAAGAGGTCATCTGCTATGATTGAATTGTGCTCCTCATGGGGAGGCTTTGAGGCAGAAGGAGAGTGGAGTTTGGATTTATTTTATTATGGAAAATAGGAGAATATTAGGAATTGCTCTGCTGTAATGGGTAGCACAAGCTTACTGGGAGAGCACAGGATTGTGTCTAGTTTAGGTTAGCAGTGTAAATTCATGGTTACTAAAACTTGCTCTGCTGTGCAATGTGGCAACCCTTGGTGCAGGCATGGAGTTTCACATCAGGGCTGAATTATTTTTTTTTTGGTCAGGTAGGTGAATTAGACTGATGGCATGGTCATTCAAGGCAGCAAAAGTATCCTGGCTGACCAGATGGACAATGAAACCTAAGCTAGGTGAGGAAAAGAATGAAGATAGAAGAGGGCCAGTAGGGTACAATCAAGGATTCTATAGACGACAGCAGGGCCAGGCCCCAAAATCACTATTCAGTCTGAGGCGAGGACCAGAAGCTCTACTTTTAGCAAGGGTTCTAGCTGATTGTGCTATAAGAGGACATGGATGATCTTTTGAGAAACTGTGCATTTAAAATGTAGTAGTTTTAAAGAAGTGATCTGCTGAGAGGACGAAAGGAAGGAAGAGGGAAAGCACACACATGAAGCATGAGCTGGAAGGACAGGTGCTTACAGCATGAGATGATGACTTTACTTCCTCCAAAGTGACACCGCCCTCGGTGATGAAAGCCAGGGTGTGCCCAAGGGAGTGGGCGGCTGCAGTGGAGTGGAGGTGAACATCACCAGGGGCTGAAGTGGTCAAGGTCTAAGGTCGTACCTATGGACTTTGAAACCACCCAAATAATGGCATTACTTGGAATAGAAAGGCAAAAGCAAGAGCAAAGTTCGAGGGTTGTAACTGGTTAGGAGTTCTATGCAGTGGAGGAAAAGTGAAACTGGCTACCCTCATGTACGCGTTTATTGTTTACCAGGCTGTACATAGATCAGGCCATGAATCCTCCCACACCACCTTCATCTGAAGAAGTGCTACTTTCTCATTTATAATTTAGAAACTGAATCACAGAGAGGTCACAGAGGCTGCTCACAGTTCGTATCCATTATGCTATGCTGACTTTCGTAAAATGATAGCTATGTTTCATTTTTCCACCATGGTGCTGGGCATGGAACCCGTGGTCTCAAGTACATTCACCATTGTACTACATTAATGTCTTAGGGGAAGGTTGATAGATTTCGGTTGGCACAGAAAGTAATAAAACAATAAAATGCCTTTATTGCAGGGCACGGAGAAGACCACAGAGGGGAGGGGTTGGGGGACTGGACCTTCTGAGGGGCCTGGCTGGCAGAACAGTGGTTAAATATGGCCAGGCTGGAGGCGGGGTTTAGGGGGTGAACCAGCTGACGTGGCACGGCAGCATTGGGTGGGAGCGTGGGAAAATGAAACAGGACGCTTCAAAGGGCGCTTCAAAGGGGAGTAAGAAATCATAATTTAACTCAGATGAAGAAGGGTGGGGCTTAGCACATGGCCTCCAGTGGCCAGTGCCACATTGGCCATGGCACAAAGCCTCCATTAGGTGGCGCCACAGTGACTTTAAAGGAATCAGAATGAGAGAAGAAACCAATCAAAGGCGTTTTAATACAGTTCAACTAAAGAAAAAAATCAAACTTCCTGAAGATTGTCAGTAGTGAGGTTAACCGGAAAAATAACGGAGAGAGTTACTTAAATTTGTTTGTATTGAATTATTTGTTGTTCAACATCCAGCAGGTGTTAACACAGAGTTAGAAGTCTATATGAGGCCATCTAGTGGCCAGTCACATAGTCTGCACGCCTCAAGACTATCTGTTCCAGGCCTTGATGATTTCTTCCGCAGCATCCAGGGTACTGTCTTTCTGTAAATTAATGAAATATTTGTAATCATTATATACTGACAGAAATTTGAGGTAAAGGTTTAGGTATAAAGCTATAGGCCATAATAGTATGAAATGCAGATTTAAGGGAACATCTGATCTCAGGTGAAGAAAAATTTTCCAAAGTACAAAAGACAAATGCAGAACCAAAAAAGTTTAATCAAATCAATTATAGAAATAAGTGAAAGAGTACAGAGGAGCTTACAGCGAGAAAGAAAAGGAATCTGCTCCAGTCCTCCAAATCTTTCCTCATTAGTCCTTTCATCTGCCAAGACAACCCTTTACGGCAATTTCTAAAGAATATACTATGCTTCTACGTTTCCATTTGTGAACTTCGCATATTAGTCACTGTATGCTGCTCTGTGCAAGGAAGATTTAGTTCATTCTAAACATTAGTCCGCCCTTCCTATCAAAATTTCAATTACGGTTATTGACAAATGAGCCACTTAGTTTTTGAATAGATAATGCATGCCTATTATATCATATATAAAATTAATTAAATCGAAGGGTAAACTGATGGAGACCACTATGAAGCAGCTCTGAGGAGGATTTAATATTAACCAATTGGCTTTCCATGTTTATTTGTGAATCACTGGTCCCTACTGAGGCCTGCATCGGCCTGTGAAGTTGGGACTCCTCAAAGGATAAGATAAGGCCACAGCTGCACAGCAGAGGACGTCTGGCTGCAACCCCATTAACTAAAAGGAGACTGCAGCTGCAGGCATCTCACTCCTGCAGTGAAGGGCTTCCTGGAGATAACATAGTTCTCCTAAATTAACATAAAGTATTACCTGGAGAAGTTCTTAAAGGGCTTCCCAAGTCCTGCCCAGATTCCTGCATTTTTTTTAGTATCCCCTTCCTTTGTTTGAAAACCAAATAAATATCAGCTGCTTAGAGAAGTCTTGGTCTCAACCCAGAGAATCTCAAAATCTGTAATAGGGGTGAACCCTCTTGGAGCCCTAAAATCATTTCAATTGTGTCATTTATTTAAGCCTTCACGGTCCACTCACTTGGGAGATTGTGGGCTGATCAGCCCGCAATAACTAAGGGATATTACTAACGTGATAGTAATCAGTGAGCAGCTAGCCTGGTGTTTTCCTCTTTTGTTATGTTTTATTTTTCCTTCTTGTCCCTGCCAAATAATTCAGTGTGGAAGCCACTAGGTGTGGCTGAGCAAAGTACATGTCTGGGCGCTAAGGCTCTGAACCTGGGCTGCTGGCCGCAGGGTAGTGCAGTCCGAGTGGAGCAAGCAGGACTGCAATGTGAGTGGAAGAAGGTGGTGAAGAAGCTGGGTTGGTGGTGTGCGCTTGTAATCACAGCACTCTAGAAGGCTGAGGCAGGAGGATCAGAAGTTAGAGCCCAGGCCGAGCCCTTTAGCAACTTAATGAGAACCTGTCTCAAAAACCAAAAACCAACCCCCCACCCCATCCTCACACACACATAAAAAACAACAAGAACAACAAAAAAAGCCTGGGGATGTACCATGACACAAAGGCCCTGGGTTCAAACCCCAGTTCTGCCTTCCACCAAAAAAAAAAAAAAAGGTGGCAGAGGTGTCTGTGATGACACTGAGCTGAAACAGTGTTGGCAAGTATGCGATGTATCTGTGAGGTAAGGGCCCTGGCTTGTGTTTTGTTTTGTTGTTGTTTTTTGAGAAAAGGTCTCACTATGTAGCCCTTGCTGGCTCCACGTAGGGTCCTGGACATCTGGCTTGTGCTGTCAGACTCCAAAAGGGGTGAGGAGGGTTTGTTTATTTATTTATTTATTTATTTATTTTGGTACCGAGAATTGAACTCGTGACTTCATGCTTGCCGGGCAGCTGCTGTGCTGTTGAGCTATATCCCCAGCTCGAGGAGGGTATCCATGCAGTGAGAGGCAGCGGTGGCCTGGAGTGGGGTCCTGGGGACCCAGAGGAGGGCACCATCATGGGAGGGTGAGAGCAGGTGGGCATGGGGTTCAGAAGCCAAGGCAGGGGAGAACTGTGACCACATCAGGGGGTGGAAGCAGCGTGGTTCAAACTGTCCTGACCTGGGTGGATGAAGGGTATCCACCCCGAGATCTGGGTGAGTGGGTGGGGGAGGGCTGGCACCAATGGGACATTGATCACATATAGAGAGAAGCACTGATCAATCACATAATTAAATCATGGCTCTAGGCTTTTCACCGCTGAAGAAGGGAGTTACAAATATGGACAGGGAAAAAGCTGGGATGAAATTTGTTGGTAGTTTTCAATATATTTGGGCACTGTCACAACTGCAGCGAGCTACTAGCTGGAATTGAAACCTTAGCACCAATAATAAATTAGAAGGGTGGAGTTTAAGAAAGGAAGAGGATTTATCTGTAAGGTGAAAAAAGCAGAAGCCAGAAACAAAACTGCACCAGAGAGAGGGCAGGGTGTCTGGAAAAAGACAGATGTCCCTGAGGCTTTGTCCCCAGCTTCTTTTACCAGAGATAGGGACCCTTCCTTCCAGGTGGACACTGGGAGCTTGTCACAATCTGATTGGCTTCCTAGGCTGTCTTTGGATGGGTCCCAGGCCTCAAGACCCTAACCCAGGCTCTTTCGCCCATGTGGACATCCCTTGTAGTGTGCTTTGTTTGAGTTTCTCCTCCCCTTTTGTCCTTGTCAGGCCTTATCCCTGGGATTTATAGGTTGGTTAGGAGAAGCCTTATTGAAAGGCAGCTTAGAATTAGTGATTAAGTAAGGGGATGTGTGGGTATCTAGTGCACTAATAGAGTGACACCAAAGTGCGCGTGTGCACACACACTCTCTCTCTAAAGGTTTTTCTTGAGTTGCTTCCTTTACATTTTATTGGAGTGGGGAGTTATTCTGGTTTCTGGGCTCCTGGCTTCCTCCGTGCTCTGCCTACCAGCTCTTGCTCTGGTTAATCTCTCTGTTAGGGAGCAGTCCTTCTTTGCTTGTAAATTCTTATGCTGTGTGTGCTATCTGGTGCCTTTCTGTGTCTGGTTTCTTTCTTTCTCTGTCTATCATTGTCCTTTTAATTGCTCCTAAAGGAATTCCTCTAGTGAAGTTTTAACTCCTTTAGCCAGGATTAGCCAGTGATTTGCCAGCAGTAAAAGCAGCTTTTAGTAAGATTTTTCTACTAATTTCTTTAATAAAGTCTAATGAGGCCCTTATTCTATTTCTTCCCCCTCCTGTGGAACTCTGTCCCTACAGATACATATAAATAGAGAAGTAAATATGTACATAATCAGTCCGCTAGGTCCACTGGTTCTGCATCTGAATCAACTGCCAATTGGAGATGTTTGAAAAAAAGAAATTATGGAGACCCTATCTCAAAAAACATTCTCAGCCAGGCATGGTAGTACAGGCCTGTAATGTCAGCAGTTGGGAGACAGAGGCAGGAGGATTGCTGTGAGTATGAGGCCAGCCTGGGCTACACAGTGAGGTCAAGGCCAGGTTGAACTACATAATGAGACCTTGTTTCCCCCACAAAAAAATAAAAAAATAAAAACAACAGCAAAACAAAATCCAACAACAAAAAATTATGTCTGTACTGAACATGTACAGATTTTTTTGTCTTTGTTCTCTAAACAAACAGTAGTGTAAAACAACTATTTGCATGGCATTTACATTGTATTAAATTATAAATAGCCCAGAGATAATTGAGGTTGCGTGCAAATACTACACTGCATAGATAAGGGACTTGAGCATTCACAAATTATGATATTTGGTGGTCCTGGAACTCCTTCTAGATAGAGGGAGGACTTTAATCATGATATGTCAACTTGACTTGACTAAGAAACTCCCAGGAAATTAGTAAAGCATAAGTTGGGAGGTTTCTGGATGGGTCACTGACGAGTGACCTCAGAGATTATATATGGTCCTTGGCCCCTTCCTCCTTGATGCCTGCTTGCTTAATGGCTGCCATGAACTAAGCAGATTCCACCATGATATTCTTGCCTTGGAGCCAGCAGACCACAGACTAACCCCTCTGAAACCATAGGCAAAAACAAACATTTTCTCTTTTATTTCAGTTTTTATGGTTGCATGATATGGGGTCTTGCTATGTAGTTCAGACTGTTCTTGAACTCACTATGTAGCCCAGACTGGCCTCCAACTCATAATGATTCTCCTGCTTCAGTCTCTCAAGCGCTGGGATTATAGGTGTACATCACCACACTTGGCTATTTCCTCCTTTAAACTGTGAGTATTGGGTATTGTGTCCCAAAGACAGGAAGACTGCCTAACACAGACTACATTATATATGAATGTGTGCATGCATGCATATGCATTAATATATTCCCCACCTCTGTCTACTGGGAGGATCTGGGAACACCAACAACCCAACGACAGTGAGTGCTCTTACTGTTTAATGTTGGTTTGTAAGCACCACTCTCTACTAAGAGGACTTACTGGAAATGGCTGATTCCAATGAACAAAATAGGGATCAGAGAGTCACTACTGATACCAATGAATAGGTAAAATGAATAAATTGGTTTATGTGATATGGAATATTTTCATAGTTTCAAAGTACTTTACTGCAAAATATCCAATATTTTTTAATGGAAAAAGTGCAACTTCACAGTAAAAAAGCTTGGCAAATACCATTTAATCCACTTACACCAGTAAGAGCAAAATTGAAATCATGTACCTCTGATGCAATAAAAAGAAATAAGCAGCACTTCTGTGCTTTCTTGCCAAAGTGAGCAGCTTCCATTTAATTATGGGGAAACATAGACTAAAATTCAGGGGCTTTCTTCTAAAGAGTTGGCTGATAATTTTCAGAAAGTATCAAAATCACAAAGGTCAAAGCAAACTGGAGAAACTTTCTAGCTCCAAGGAAACACAATTACTAAAAGCAATGGCATAATTCTAGATCCATTGTAAGGTAATATTATTAACCTTACTTTTACTTCTACATTTAAATCGATTGAATACTTACACTGTCAGGATGTTAACATTTATATCCTATTTTGAACAGGCCTTCCATAGTTTGTTTATAGATTATTTCTGAAAGAAAGTGTTCACATTATTCTGACAAGATTTTCAGAAGAATAAGTTGGCATAGAGAGCGCTTTTATCTCAGTAAGACTGTTTTTAGTGCCAGTAACATCTTAAAAATGGCAATAAAATCTTCAGAATCTTTTTAAATACAGATCTGATCACCATCAGCAGAGTTCTCTCAGCTTTTGTCTGTCAGAAATGTCATTTATTTTAAGTCTTAAAGAATATTTTCACAGATATCGAACAGTAGAGGCTGACATAGCTTTTTTATTTCTGTTCTTTGAACATGATATTTCATTATATTCTGGTTTTGTTTGTTCCTGATGAGAAGATAGTTAACGTTCCAATCTTTGTTCTGTGCACAGGATGTGTGGTTTTTCTCTGGTTGTTTTAACAACATTCTCTTTACTTTAGATTTCAGAGTGTAATTATGCCTGGCCTAGGTTTTTTTTTTGTTTTTTTTTTTTTTTTTTGAGACATGGTCTCACTCTGTAGTCCAGGCTGGCCTAGAACTCATGATTCTCATATTCTCCTTGTAAGTGCTGAGAGCCTCCACCAAGCCCAGGTTTTGTTTTGTTTCAAATCCTGTGACAGCTGACTGAGCTTTTGAGATTTTTAAGTTGCTTTTCACCAAATATGAGAAAATTTTGTCCATTATTTCTTTTCTTTTTAAATTCTTTTAGGGGGTGGGAGGTTAAGATAGGGACTTGCTGTGTAGTACAGGCTGGTCTTGAACGCACTATGTAGCCCAGGCTGGGCTCGAACCTGTGATCATCCTGCCTTAGCTCTCCAAATGTTGGGATCACAGACTTGCACCATTACCCCTGGCTGATTATTTCTTAAAATAATTGTTTCTACCATATTTTTTCCTTTGTTTCTTCCTTTATTATTTTTTAAACAATAGCCAAGTTTTATTAAGTTTAGGAAAAGAAACAGGTGCTGCAGAGTGAGTTTGGTCAAATAAAAGCAGGAAAAGAAGTATACTTGGGCTGGGGATATAGCTCAGTGGCACAAGCACCTGCCTGGCAGTTGTAAGGTCCTGAGTTCAATTCCTAACATACTCTAAACAGGGTGAGGGCAGCCACAATGCAAGATTGACCACACTGAACACAATCCTTTGTTATTTTTTATTTGTGATACTCCAAAGGAATGCATATCATCATCACTTGGTACTATTTCCATTTTAAAAAAATAATTATTCTTTCATTTTTTTCAGATTAGACATTTCTACAGATCTATATTCAAGTTGACTTCCCTTCTTACTGACAGCTTCAATTCTTTGCTAAGTCTGACAAAATGTTTCATATTAGGGATTATACCTTTCAGTTCTGGAGTTTCCACCTGATTTTTTTTTAGGTTCTAATTCCTCTGACCATATTTTCCTTTAATTTATTGAATATAGTAATAATATCTGTTTTAAAACCATTTTCTGCTAATTCCTACTTCTGAGGCACCGCCAGGTATATTTTTATTGAATACTTCCTTTTTTAAATATAGGTCACATTTTTCTCGTGTTTTTACATATCTAGGAACTTCCTATTGTATGCTGGGCATTGTTACTTGGTAAAGTGTCTGGATTATGTTGCCTTCCCTGAAAGAGGTTGAATTTTGTTCCATTATACAGTTAATTTCAAGGCAGCAAATCAAAATTTAGAAATGCACATGAGGTTATGATTTTTAGCAATAGAAAAAAAGATGATCTGTAAATCAGAAAGAAAGATATTCTGAATGGGTTTATGAGTGGATCAGGAAACTTACTTTGATGAAGCAAAAGCGCACAAACTTCTCAAACTGTGATTTAGTCTCTGAGTTACAGAATGCTGACACAGGGATGGCTGATAGTTTCTGAAAAAAATAAATAGGATTAAATAATAGCCAAACCACTTACATTTATTTTTAAAACATTTTTATTATACTTTTTAATTTTTTTTTTTTTCCTCTGGTACCGGGAACCGAACTCACAACCTTGCGCTTGCCAGGCAAGCGCTTTTGCCGCTGAGCTAAATCCCCAGCCCCTATACTTTTTAATTTTAAAGAGAATAGTAAAAGAAAAAAAATAGCAGCATGCCAACATCACAAACATAAACAAAACAAAGCAAGCACACTAAAAGTGATACAGGGTTTCAAACAAAACGATAGGAATTAACAGTGGTTATTATATTACATATTGTTATCTTCAACTACTGTTGCTCAGATTACCGGATGTCAAGAATGGAAGATTGTTCAAACCATTAAAGAGAATAACAAAATAATTATTAGAGATAATACAGAGTTTCACTAGACAAAATGGTAGGAATTCACCAAGCGTTGTTCCACTGTACATCATTTACATTTAAAATGCTAATTTTGAGGCAACAGACACTACACTTTATTTTTTTCCATTTGGAGGCTTGAACTTAGAGCCTTTACACTGAGCTACATCCTCAGCACATTTTTTATTTTTTATTTTGAGACAGGCTCTTGCTAAGTCACTAAATTCTCTAGGCTGGGTTTAAACTCAAAATCCTCCTGCCTCAGCCTCCCAAGGTTCTGAGATTACAGGTGTGTACTGTAGTGCCTAGCTTGATATTTTTAAATATGTACAACCATTTATAAAATGAAAAATGTTTTTAAAAACCCCCCAAAAGTCACAGTGAAAAATCAGGTAATAAAGTTACAACCAATGTTTTTCAGAGCTTGTGAGCAAGTTTCCTTCATAAATCAACTATAAAATGCAACACAATAATGCAAAGGCCAACAAACATTACCTTGTTTTTCGTCATCCATTTCACAAATTTATAGTCATAAGGTTCATTGTTCTTCATGTCAGAGAGGTCAGCATCTAAAGCAACAATGAAAATTAGGTTGCTTTTGAATTATATTTGCGATGACATGTATTTCACTTAAGTCCACTGAGATTCAGAATGTTCTCCTGATTTAATCTGCTTTAGCTGAGAACTTTCTTGGCAGATATTTGCAACATGCTGGAGTCTCGCAGTGCACTGTGAGCGCAAAGGGAGGCATGCGCAGATGAAAGGCACTGAGACCCTATGGCGGTGCCCACATGCGCCTGGTCAAGCACGCACAGCAAGCTGTTGGCGCAGGCAGAGAGCAGCAAACGGGAAGGAAAGGGTGAGTGAGTGCTGCCTTTCCACCTAGAAACAGAACTCCGCAGTAACTGTTAAGGAAATAATAAGTAAATCTGTCTTTATCAGTAATAACCACATTACTTAGAGATTTTAATCTCCGTGGGGGTAGAGTGTTTAGTTTGCAATGTATCGCATCCCCAACTCTTAGGTCAGCAAGGAATCAAAAGCGTATTTGTTGAATGAATAAAATAACACTATTTATTATTTATAAACAAGGAATGTTCACATCTTTCCAATGTTATAGTTGTTTGTCTGCTGCTTCCATATACTAAGATATTTAACAATTTTTTCATTTGGGAAAAAAACTTCAGATGTGTATTTCCATTCCTATCATTTCTATCAGTCTTGCTTACAAGTCTGGGCAGGGTATTTTTCTGGCATTCACTGCAGCAATCTACATTTCACATTGTTTGAATTTTATTGGCTTGTACTCTTAGATCTTTTAGAATGCCCCTAAATACCCAATATTGATGGTTACTGTAATCAGTGAAGTTTGTAGTTTATTACTCAGAACAAACTGAGAGACATATTTTACTTTTTTAATTAATTAATACCAGTGGGTGTTTTTCAAATTAATCTTTGAAAAGGCTTGACACTGAAGATATATATATATATATATTTACAAGTATATAAATTATATTTATAAGTAGATATATAAATATATATTCATTATATCTTTTTACCTGATAATTTTCTTTCCAGTTTCCCCTATGCTTTAAGGAGAAGGTAAAATTTCCATATAATAACATGAATAATATTCTACCACTTTTTGAGTACTTCCTATTTGTTAAGCATGTGGCATGGTTGTCTCATTTAGTAGTCTCAACAATTCTGAGAGCAAGCTACAATTCTCTCTTTATAGATGAGGAAGTTAAACTACTATATCAAGATATATGCATGTATGTATGTTTAATTTAAGTTTGGCCCTAACAAGATGACAGCTTAATAATATTAGAATCTACTTGTAAATTATGTAAGAGCTCCACCTGACAAGTACACACTAGTAGGTAATTCAAGGTATAAAGATAGCCCAGGAATAAAGACATGATTACCTCTGGGTGCAGAAGTAAGCACAGAGGTCATTAACTGTACCTGATGCACCGTACTACTCATTTAAACATTTTTGTTAGTATGTCTTTGTGATAACTTAGAGAAATAGGAATTGACTGCCATAGTGCTGAGAAGAAAAGAAGGGAATAAATACATTACAAAGGCTTTGTAGTTAGAAGGAAGTTGGAATTTATTTCTTTTGAAATGACTAAGCTAGAGCCCCTCAAGGGGATGAAACAAAGGAAGCAAAGTCATTCTTTATTAAAAGTGAGAGTTGAAACCAAACGTATTAGCATATTTAAGCAGTCTATGAAAACCTGACTTGGCGTTGGTATTCTAGCTTCTCCACAATCCTGAGTGCATTCTCACCAGACAACAGTAATTATCTCCTTAGCCATCACCTTTCCTTCTAATCAAGTGTTCCTCCTTTTAGCTCTAGGGTGAAGCTCATAGGTGGCAAAGATGCTTAGCAGGCTAAATTCACTGTTTAGGCATGGATGTCTTAACTCGGAGTCAAGTTCTATGGCTGATTAGTTGGCTAACTTCAGTAAAATACTTGATTCTCTGCTTATTCTCATCAACCACTAGGGCACGGAACCTATCTTGTATGGTTTTCTTGAGAATGTGACATGTGCAAAGCTCTTAATATAATACCTACTATATCTCAAATTCTTGATAAATATTAATCATTGCACCACTGTTATTAATTTACAAAGAGAAATTATTACTGTGTTCACAAATGTTATGGTTTACTTTTACTCTCAAGCTACCATCAAGTGGAAGTTTTTATTTTTTATCTTCAAGAATGGATATAAACAACTGCTAGTATGTGAAAAAATTCAGACACAGCAAATTAAAAAAAAACAGATGAAACAATAAAATAAAAGTTTTTTCCCTTTGTAGCGTGATTTTACAGAGATTAACATTTTTCTCCATGGGAGAAAGAGAACATAAAGAAAGGACATCTTCCCCATCCAGTCTCCCATCATCAAAAAGGCTTTCTAAATCAGGCGTGGTGGCGCATATGTGTAATCTCAGCACTCGGGAGGCTGAGGCAGGAGGATCGCTGCAAGTCCAAGACCAGCCTGGACTACACAGTGAGCTCAAAACCAGCCTAAACTGCACATGACCACTCAGTCCCTTCCTTACAGCATATTCAGCCGCTGAACTCATGAGTGGTTAAATCCACTGATGCCTACTCAATCACCTTCCAAAAGCCCTGGGCACACGAGAGCTCAGGGACACATTCTAGATCTAAACCATAACACTGAGCTTTTTCTTCCTATCATCTCATAAAGTGAGCTGCACATTTAGATCAGGTATAGAGAAAGCTGGGTGTGGTGGCACATGACTGTAATCCCAGCACTTGGGAGGATGAGGCGGGAGGATCGCCTGAGGTTGAGGGCATCCTGGGCTACATAGTGAGACCCTGCCTCAAAACCAAAACAAACAAACAAAAGAGTAGGACTTGGGATTTTGCCAAATACAACTCTGTGGGAGTAAGACTGCAAGAACACGTAGCCTGTTCTCTCACAGCAGATTAAGAAATGTAAGAGAGAAGCTTACTTCAGTTTGAATCAAACCCCAGGTAATAAACTCTTATAATTTTAGTTGCTTCAGTGTCTTTTCAGGGACTAGTCACCCTTGTAGGGGGAGGGGTTGTAGGCAGAGAGAAAATAGGATAGGGGCCACATTTATTTTTCTAGCTAACCCTGATTAGGAGTTGAAACTTTACTGGAGAAATTCCCTTGGGAACAACATCAAGGACACAGGTAGAGAAAGAGAAAGCCCAGGTAAAGAGAGACACCAAACAGCCTTGGGATTTGCACCAAAAGACCAGAGAAAGGGCTCCCAGGTGGAGTACAGAGAGTGCCAAATGCGCAGTGTCAAGCCCAGACAGCAGTCCCTCCGCAGCTCCACTGGAATGCGGGGGAAGCAGAGGTGCAGAGGGCGCTGACTTTCTTTGGGGTAAGCTCTTATTCCGTACGCACTCACACTTATGCCCTAACACACCTACATGTGCATTCACTCTGGGGACACTATATGATCCGCTCTAGGCTATATTACAACAGACATCCACACATCCCTTTACTAACGCTAAGCTAACCATGAGTAAGACTCCTTCCTGCCAACCAGCTGCCTGCCCCAGAGATAAGGCCCTGACTAGGACAAATAAACAGACAGAAAGAAGTTATATAAATAGAACTCTGGAGGAAATGACGTAGGCAAGGGGGCCAGCCTAAACCAAAGGCAGCCCAGGGAACCAATCAGGTTATGGAAAATTCCAGGGAGGGGGAGGCTTTGTGACCCTGGATAAGACAGGCCAGGAACAACGGGTCCATGACAGGTCCTGAATTTCCAGAGCCCCCTACCCTGATTCTTATCAGGGTAGCTATCTAGCTTCTCCCTTATCCTCCTTTCCAACAAAGTCTCTTCCTTTCTAAACTTTGTATCTTTGATGCATTACTGGTGTTGAGTTTACGGTCAAGGTGAGCTGCTCACCTCAGCGGAATAGGTGTGTTCATCCCCTGGACGTGACACCCTGGACACAGTTTCTAGCTCTCTGCCTCCTTGGTTCTCCTTAGATGTGTTTCTTGTGTGGAGATCTCCTGGGGAACACCTCCCTGTCGGACAGCCAGATACACCTACTTGGTTTGCTCCAGTGACCCATGCGCCTCAGGGGCTGCAGAGACGTGCCACACTGACCGCCCCTCACACAAGCCCAGCCCCACAGAGCTTGCGCCTGGCCACCAGGTCTGGCTGTGGACACCTGTGTGCGTGATGCCCTGGAAGGCTCTGGCTGTCAGCTCCCTCGTTCTCTCTCTTGCTCTCCAGCCCCTGGCTGAGCATCCATTTCCCAGGAGTCTCCTTCCTTCCTGTGAGCCCTGCTTCCCTCTGGGATCCGCCAGTAACACTGCTCTCATCCTGTGGGCTTTGTTGTCCTGCCTCCGCTCACCTGAGTGATACAACTGAGCGCGACTTTCCTCTTGGGCAGAGACGAGAGCCATGAGGGGCTCTGTCAGTACAAATGAGTTTCTCACGACAGGGACATAGGGCACGCACAGCAGGGCTGGTCACCAGGTAGGGAAGTATTATGGGATGGCACACTGTAAACACCCACAGCCACCTCCCCCATAGCCTTGTTAGGCTCTAGAGAGAGACCTCAGGACCAAAGTACGTGCCAGTCATGACATCTTCCCGAAATCTGTGAAGATGATCGTAAAATAGCATAAGAAGTAGAAACAATTAATGTGAAATGCCTGTGTATCAGAGAAGTTAAAATGTATCTGCTGTTTTTTTTTTTTTTTTTTTTTTCTGTTTTGTTACAAAAGTGGATTATTTTGTACTCTTTCCAATTCTCTAAAGTTTGGTATAAATGAAACACTAGTTTTTCAAGTGACATATGTTTGATTTATAATAAATCAAATTTAAAAACTATATAGCTGTTACTTCTGTCAATAAACATGCTATAAAGTTTACTATTATCAATAGTGCAATATATATGTATATACATATAACATTATTATATTTCTAACTTCTAGATTGTTGGTGGCATGTTAGAGTTATGTCTATCAGCTTTATGTAAGGTAAGAGCATGGGTTTTTGGAGACAGAACTAGCTGTGTGACTCTGGGTAAGCTATTTAACACCTTGTAAGTCTTCTTGTCTGCAAAGGCGCTAACACAGCTTTTTTCAAAAGGGCATTTGAGTGCTTGGATATAGTAGAATTTCAATACATGTTATTTTTCTTATTTTATTTCATTATATTCTCAAAGGGCAACATTTCCTAATGGCTTCAACATTTCTAGAAATCTTGCAATAAAACACTATATCTTTTTTGTTAAGCAAAAAAGAAATTAAAATTTTACCAAATGAATGCAGGGCACATGTATTATTTTATGTACGAGTTTTTTAAAATATACACCAGAACAGGATGACTGCAATTCATCATTTAAGAGATACCTACACACCAACAATTTAACAACAGTCACATTTCAGGTAGAAATGATAATTGTAGAAAATGTTTATATTGTTGAAATCTGCCCTTTTATTTTTTTAGAGAAAAACGCTGCAATGGCTTTGTATATATTTGAAATAATAAAAACCTTTACAAACCTAATGAAGACACATCAGCAATGATGAAGTATCCTCCATCAGGAACTATGGGTTTCAGGCCAGCACTTTCTAGTAAACGTGCCATCCGATCTCTTTTTACCTCCAATTCTTTTGGCAAAGAATTAAAGTAACACTCTGGGCTGTCCATGCGCTGGATGTCAACCCAGAGAGCTTGGGCCACAGCTTCCTGTAAGTTAAGATTGATAGTGTGGAAAGGAAATATGGTAATATTAGTCATTACTTCATTTATTGGTATAATAAATAAAGATCATTTGAGTAGAATTTTTGGCAAAAAAGTCACTCAAGTGCCTATTAAACTCTGCAGAGTAATAGAGGAACCAGTTCCGTGTAAATGATCAAATCTAATGTAACAAGCTGAAAAAGAGTCATGAAAATGCAAATTCAAATGGGGGATTAGATAAAGATGGCTTACTTGGTCACAAGAGATACTAAGTTGGTTTTTACCGAGGTAAGCTGTGGAAAGACTTGTTATAGCTAAGTGTGGAAACCAACCAGGGATCTTGCGAAGTAGTTGATCTTCCCATTGCCTGGGTGGACAGAGTGCGAACAAAACCCTGGCTATGATCGTGCATATCCCAGGAAGGTGAGCTAAGAGAAACAGGATTAGAAACGAGTTTCTGCAGTGTGTAGGTGACTCCTCTACGGCCCTTCAGGCAAATCAGCAGAGGTGGGAGAGCAACCGGTCAAGGAAAAAGCCAGTGTTGTTGAGCGCAGTGGACCTAAGGCTTACATCCCCCAGATCCGTACGTTGAAATCCTGGCTTCCATGGTAATGGTGGTAGGAGGTGCAGCCTTTGGGAGGCAACTAGGTCAGCAGAATAGATCCCCCAGGAACAGTATTAGCACCTTTAAAAAAGAGAGGCTCATGCCAGCAATTCTAGCACTTGGGAGGCTGAGATAGGAGAATGTAAGTTTGAGGCCAGCCTGGGTTACATAGTGAATTCAAGGCCAGCCTGAACTACATGGTGAAACTTTGTCTCAAAAAAAAAAAAAATCAGAATAATGATCTTCCAAGCTGTCCATATCTTGAAACTCAAAATCTGTAAACACATTAGCTTGCATGATAAAAGAAACTTTGCTTATGTGATTTAAATTAAAGAGCTTGATTTTATTATCCAGGGAACCCAATATAATCACAAAGGTCTATAGAAGGGAAAAAGGGAGATAGTTGGTTTAAGAGTCACCAAAAGGAGCTGTGCTTAGGAAGAAGAGGTTGGAATGATGTGACTATAAGCCAAGGGGTGTTGTCAAACTTTAACAGCTAGAAAAGGCAAGGAGCCTCAGGAAACAGTGCAGGAAGGCCTTCCAGACCCCTTCTGGACTTCTGACATGCAGCTCTAAAAGGTTAGTTTGTGTTGCTTTAAGGTACTAGATTTGTGGGAATCTGTTACAGCAGCAGTAGGAAACTAATACAGTCATAGCATTTCAATACTTGGATAGGTCATGGTTTATTTAATCACTTGTCTATAGATGGACAACTGGCCGTACTCAATAGTCTACAATAAATAGCTACATACATAAGTAACTTATTATGTGTGTACACATCAAAACAAAACAAAATTCTAGATACCATTGAATACGTGTCTGCTCCTAAATTCCCAGCTGTTTTAGAAGGTCTTTCTTAAGAAAGACTTGAAGGGATGACCTAAATTCAAATACACGATATAAAAGCGACATCTTTACAACAAACCATGCTCCCATCCCAAGTCACTAGGTCACCTACCTGTAAAGGAGTTGCACAAGTATAGACAGTGTTTTGCTGAACAGTCTGTAAATGTTTTATCAAATGATTAGGACCAAAGGTCCAGCCGAGCTGGGAAAAGAAGAGATAAAAACACCTTTCAAAAAATAATCTAATAGAATATCAATGTCAGATCTAAGGGAATAGTTAATATAATTGTTTTTTTTTGTTTATTTGTTTGTTTTTTTTCCGGTACTGGGAATCGAACTCACGACCTTGCACTTGCCAGGCAGGCTCTGTGCCGCTGAGCTAAATCCCCAGCCCCTGTAATTGTTAAATGTAGGCAATTCCAAAAAGTTCTCACTATGAAAGCAGTGCAATTCTAGTGCTAGAAGCATTTCAATGCTATTCTCTTTTGTGGAAAAGCGGAGTCACTAACTCTGCCTTTATCACTAAGCTGTCTCTAGTTTGTTTGTTTTTTACAGATTTTTTTTTTTTGACACATGTACCATGTAGTCCAGGCTGGCCCTAAACTCACTTAGGTAGGCCAAGCTGGCCTCAAACTTGCAGCGATCCTCTTGCCTCAGCCTCCCAAATGCTGGGATTATGGGTGTGGGCCATTATACCTGGCTAACTTTTCTTGCTTTTAAAGAAATAATTAAATCTCAAAAGAGAGGAAATAACATGAAAGGTGTGTAAGTTAATAATTAAAAGATAAAGATCTATATAACATAAATATGTATGCATCTATCATTTATCATCTATCTATCCATCTGTCCATCTTTTGTGACAATTTCCTTATATAGTCCAGGCTGGCCTTGGACGCATAATCCTTTGGCCTTTGAACTCATAATCCTTTGGCCTGAGCCTCCCAAGTGCTGAGTCTGTTTGCATGTACAATACAAAACACTCTGTAAAACCAAAAAAACTCCCTATTTTTAAGCAACCTTTTTCTTCTTTCTGGGCAAGGGGAGTGCTGGAGATTGAACCCGGGGCCGCTCACATGCTGAGTGCACCCCCACCCCTGAGCTGCAGCCCTCCGCCACTGCCACCGCTGAGCCCCAGTCCTCTCACCTTCCAGCCAGTCACACTGAAGGTCTTCCCAGCGCTTCCTATCGTGACTGTTCGCTCCCACATACCTGGGAAAGTGGCTGGAAAGGGAGGGAAAGGTTGAATAATTGCTCTCCAATCAACCTATACTTAGCATAATCTAAAAACATAGCAAAGATACATGAATTCAATGCCAGTAAATATATTAATTAGAGTTAGTACGAATATTTCAGTAGTTCCCAAGGCCTTCATTCAGACTCAGCATTATACCCAGCCTGTAAATGTTTTTTTTTTTTTTTTTTTTTAATTTTGAGACAGGATCTCACTAAGTTGCCCATGCTGGGCTTGAAATTGCAGTCATCCTGTCTCAGCTTCCCTGAATGCTGGGATAACAGCTATATGCCACCACACCTGGCTGAAACAAGTTTTTAAAAACAATGTAACTTTAAACCCACATGTAGCTGAAAATGCTGCAATGTTTTAGAACACTGCAGTGCTTTATTAAAATAATATGCTCACAGATTTAATAATTCTAAGTGAAAAAATTGTCTCCAAGAGTAGGAGTGGCAGCGCTACCAACAGGCAGCATTCCAGGCCAGCTCCAGTGACAGGAGTCACTCGCTGCGGCTTCCAGTGTCTAGTGCTGCAGTGACAGTCCTCAGACACAATGGTCCTGTGGCACGGTTTTGAGTGACTGGGAAGCACCCACCCCTTTAGTTGTCCTCTTTGTGATCTGTTTCTCCAAGCTTTTGTCTTTTTGTTTTTTTTTTCTGGTACCGGGAATCAAACTTGCGCTTGCCAGGCAGGTGCTGTGCCGCTGAGCTAAATCCCCAGCCTCCCAGGCTTTTGTCTAAGATTAATGGTTTTTAATATGTCAGCAGGATCAACAACACTTTGGAACATGTAAGAAAAGGAAGTAGTTGTGGCTCATCCCGGACCTACTGGATCAGAAGCTCTGGTGGCAGGCCTACTAATTTACATATGCGTGTGTGTGTTGCTTACAGTTGTACGGAGATGTAAGTCCCAAATCATGTAAGTCACCCATAGAGAGTGTACAATGCAGTGGATTTCAGTGTATCTATGGATTTAAAAGGAGCTCTGTGTCTTTCCGCTCCATCTCCTAATGTCCCCCAGAAGCTATAGCTGAAGGAAGCTGTAACAGACACATTCTCCAAGTGAGACGAGATAGCCTTCCTGTGCTCAGGAGCGTGCACGCACTTCTACACGGAGCCTGGGCTTTCTAACTGGCCGAGTCACCACAAATCACAGCCTTAGAGTCAGGCTGAGGAAGTGGAGAGTCCCCTGTTGAGCCTCAACTGGGGCACATGTGTAGGGTCAGAGTGTTTGCTCCTTTTTCAGGTGCCATGAGTATTGCTTTTGAGGTTACAAATCTACTTTAGGGATCTGATGAATTTGCAAATGTGGAATTTATAAGTCAGGAGAATCAACTGTACAAAGGTTGTCAAGGCAATTAATATCTTTAAAAGTCCTTCGTTTTATGCATTCAGTCATCCACCAAATACTTTTTAGCAACTACCAGGGGCCAGGGAGTAAGCTAGATCTAGGAGAAATAGAGATATATAAGAAATAGCTTTTGTCTTCAAAGAACTTAACTCTAGCACAGGGCTGAGACACACAGAACTGTAACCCAGAGTGACGAGCGCTGAGTAGCTGTAGGCACGGGGATTGGAAGGACGGAAAAGCGAGTGGCAGACAGCTTCCTGCGGCCTGAAGCTGGGCTGAGATGTGGGAGACTTTTCAGCAGCAGACAGGCAGACAAGGGGAGGAAAGCTGTCTACTGCTCAGGCAACAGAGGTGACAAAGGTCTGGAGGTGTGAAACTCAATGTTTGTGAATTTTGATGGATGCTGGTATAAAGAGTAGTTGACGGGTCTGTGAATCAGCTGAGAATGCTACTATAACACGGAGGGCTGGATTCTTCAAGTAATTTAGCTGTTAGTTTCTTAACATGCAACCTCACAAGTTTTTCCACTTGGGTTCTGAAGTGCTGTGGGGACTTTTATATTGCTTTAAAAGTGCTGGCACACAAAGGGAAAAGAAATAGTTCTGGGGGCCTGAGATCTGATTTTCCAAAGTAATCTGCTCATAAGCAAGCATCTTCTTACTGAAATGTAAGGCAGCTAGAAAATTTTTTTTAAATGATGCATAAGTAATTTCAATCTATTGTGAAATATCTGCTAAAATATCTGTTTTCACAGTAGGAAAATTATATAAATCACAAAAGTTATACATATAACCTTTGTGGAACATAACAAAATCCAAAAAGATAAATAAAACAAATATTTAGAAGGTCTGTTTGAAAAAGAAATATTCTAATATTTGATATAATTATATCCCTTGAGGTTTTTTTTCTTTCCAAAGTATTCTGGAGGAAACATGACACACACCCCACTCTTATTATGCCAGAGGAAAGTCTAACCTACGTACAATGCAGACTGCCATTCCCTTTAATGTAATAATGTGCAAGTATATCTCAAATCAGGAAGGCCTATGAATAAGAACAATATCTAGAAAAATTCTTTGAAATAAGAGTTATCTAGAGAAATTAATAAAATTCTTACATACTTTCACTATACATTATATGTAAAAGAAACCAAAACTACTCACTTTAATAGCAAACAGATTTCGTTCACAAATATTAAATCTAGTCATAGTATTAAGAAGAGTTAACTATATATATATATTGAAACAGGGTCTCCCTATGCAGTTCAGGCAGGCTTTGAGCTCACTTTGTAGCCCAGGCTGGTCTCGAAATTGCAACAACCCTCCTGCCTCAGCCTCCCGATTGTTGGGATTACAGGTGTGTGCCACCACACCCGGCAACTATTTTATTAATAATTATTTTAGCAATTTAGAAGTGGATTTCTTCCCCACCCCCAAAGGGAGTAACCTGTTCAGCTGAATAGCTTATAATGAATTTTTGATTAATTTTGCAAATATTAATGTATTCATATAAGTTAGGGCAGGGGGATAAGTTTTCTTTTGTTGACTGAAATGTCATTTTACTGACTGGGAAATATCATTTGCATTAAGAATCTGAACCAAAAAGAGCAAATCCTACCATTTTATAGAAAAAGAACTGTCGGTAATGTTAAAATATCTAGAAGCTCATGTCCCCTCCACCTCAGAAGATTTGTGGACATGAAAGTTCGTGTGGATATGCAGGAAAAGAGATGAATGCACAGAGCATGGCCTATGAATGTGGTAATAAAAAGATAAAGCAAAGCCAAACAAACAGACAAACAAACAAAAAATCTTCAAACAAAAAACTCCAAAACTTTTCAGGCCTAATGATTTTAGAAAAATAAATTACAGCTCAAATTTAGATTGAGATTCCATCTGAAGGCAACTAGTCTTTGTACTTTCCATCAGTGACAAATAATGCTTAATTTAGTCAAAGCAGCTCTGTTATTCATAGGTAATTTAGATTTTAACAGAAGTCAGATAAAGATTAGAGACACAATGAAGCAGCTGTGCCAGGAAAGCTGCCTTTGTGGCAACATGAAGATGACGCTCATGTCATGATGTGTCACAGCGCCTCACTGTATCATGAGAAGCTACTGCAGCACTTCGCAAACTGATGCATCTTCCATGAACAGACATAGTTAATAGAATACCTATGTCTTGGTACAATCAAATTGTGCTTTCTAAATAACTAGTAAACTCAGGTTTTTCTTTTTTAACTATACATCCCCTTACAACTAAAAAAAAAATTGAGTTTAAAATATGTGTCTTGAATATCTTTAGCAAATAGTACGGTTACACTTTACCCTGGTGAGCTTCTAAGTCATAAGTCCAAACAATAAATTTCAAGATCATTTCACATGATCATGAATATTGCTAAACTGAGTTAATTGCAAAACAATTCATTGTTCATGTTAGACTGACCTTTCGACTGGGAAATAGTCCAAATGATGTGAGATCCAGGGCGTCAACAAGATAGGCAACCGTGGGTTCTGATGTAATTTGTACACACTATATTTTCCCTGAGAAAAATTTACTCTGTACTACGGTCCAGCTTTTACCAAAATATTGATGACTGCCAAAAATGATGCCTTTGTAATCTGATCCTGATCATTAAGCTTAATAAGTCCACTTACCTCTAGGTACTGCCTCCTTTATGGCCCAGTGACGCTCAAACTTAAGAAGCGTTTACACCATGAGAAGTAGGAGTGGCCTTGGCTGAGTTCCTGCCCATGGATCTGCTCCTCCTTTGTGTAATGTTCCTGGGTAAGCCCAGTAACCCATAGACCGCAGAATCGAACTTACTTGGCTCCCTCCCAGCTTCAGATGCTGTGCTAGATGCCCTATCGCTCCTATTCGTGTTCCACGTATCAGTCCCCCTGCCAGGGAGCAGGATTTGCTACAGATGAGGATCTGCACCTGGCTCTTTATATATATAAATCAATCATGGAAACAACTCCCCTGCCTTACCTCTCGTTTGCAGTAGTTCCCAAAGTGTAATCACTGGCACTCCCGTGATCACATTCATGGACAGAATTTTTAAAAATCACTTCTAAGATTTTTTTCCACATAATTTTCTGAAGCCTCTGGCAATTGCTGCCACTTTTTTTTTTTTTTTTCAGTTTTTTTTTTTTTTTAGTTTTTCTCTGGTACCGGGAACCGAACTCACGACCTTGCGCTTGCCAGGCAGGCGCTTTGCCGCTGAGCTAAATCCCCAGCCCCAATTGCTGCCACTTATCTGACAGTGAATGCTACATGTGGTGAAACGAACGAGTCATGACTAAATGAATATTAATAGAAATCAGAGAAATTCAAACGTGTTTCTTTCAATTGCTCTTTGTTACAGACAAGTATGAATAGAACTATGATTTTTACACTGATTTTGAACTGTCAGATTTCTCAGGAAAAACTCCTTCTGATTTGGGAATAGAATTGCTTCTAGTTTCATTATGTCACTAGTTCAGCATGAATATTGTGGTTTCAAGGTGCTCTACTTAGTAAGTTTCAGAACCGCTGACCACTGCAACAAAGTTTATATCCTTTGTTCTCATAGAGGGTCCTTTAGGATCACCCACTTTCTCATCCTCACTGGTACCAGTTATTCTGATACCCTCATAAATCAAATCACTTACCTTTCTCAGGTATCTCCTGATCTAAGAGCCTCCCTGTCCAAGTATATGCTAGCTTTTCTTTTCTTTGGTACCGGGAATCGAACTCATGACCTTGAGCTTGCCAGGCAGGCGCTGTGCCGCTGAGCTATATCCCCGGCATGCTAGCTTTTCTGATAGGAATATACTTTGCATTTCTTTGCCTATTCCTTCTTTTGCTCACTGCTTTTCTAATCCCCTCAACCAGTTGCTTTTTCTTATTGCTACAGGGATTTGTAATGCACTATAAGAATATTAGTGTATACACATATGCACTAATTTCTAAATTTATCTATTTCTGCCACAATCCCTTACCATCCTTCCCTATTTCATATTTGATTCATTTATTCAATACTACTTTTCTGACCCTATTCTGGAAAATGAGGATTTAGAGGAAGCCAGCAAAGGATAATCTCTACTTTTTGCAGTTTCAAAGTGGAATGCATAGATTTGGATATTACTATAAAGGGAAAACAAGATAAAACAGAAAATAAGACCAAGCAACTGCTGGAGGAAGAGGTGTAAGTATTTGAAATGTGGTGGTCACGAGAAGCGACACAGGCACGAGACCTAAAGGAGGGGAAGGACCAGGCCAGGTGGGCATTTGGGGAAAAAGTGTTTCCAGACACAGAAACAACAGGTGCAAAGACTCAGTTTCCAGCCCTGCTTATAATTCTCCTAGTCGATACAATTCAGGCCGCCCCAGACTATGCTGGCATTTGTCACTAGCAATGGCAAAATTCCAGGCAACGACCGGGTGGCAGCAGCCTACTGTCCCTCTCATTGCTTCCCTCTGCCTTGCATTTCAGCAAACTACTCAGCACAGACAGTCCAGAGTCTCTCCGGAGCAATGAGGCTCACCGTTTATAAGTACCCAGGAAGAGCAGGATTCTCACTGCGAGGCCAAGAAGACAAGCAAATGCAGAATGCCCCTGGCTTCACTGTTTCAGAGTGTGTGCTGAAATCTCTCTCCCTAAATTTGTACTGTTTGTTTTTCAAGCTGTTTGTTGATCCCAACACAAGCATCATTCGTTCAAATGTTACTCTCATGTGATCTCACGCACATGGATGAGAAAGACTATTTTAAAACTAGTCTGGGTTCCTTTCCAATCAGTTATCCCACATGTGCCCAAATACACTGAGATTTGTGAGTCTATGTAATAATCAGTACCTATTTTTAAATGCTTATGTCCGGTATATACAAGCCACTCATAAACCTCATCGCTGATACAGAGTACGTCATATTTGATACAAAGGTCTGCAATGAGTTGGAGTTCTTCTTTCGTATACACCTGCACGGATTGAAGGAAAGAGCACAGCCAGTTATTATTCAGCGTATGGGCAAACAATAGGTCAAAGCCTGCGTAAAGAGAGAGGCTCACTTACCTTGCCAAGAGGGTTGTTTGGAGTATTTAGTATGATGGCTTTGGTTTTAGAATTAAATTTGCTTTCGAGTTCTTGCGGATCTAAGGTCCAGTCAGAACTAGACCATTTTTTTCCACCAACAGCTTTCTAGGCATGGAGAATGAAGACGGGATTTAAAGAAATTGATTCATGTTTGCTAGCTTACAAATAAATGAATTCAGAAGGGGGAGAAAAACCAAAACAGAAGAGAGTAATAAATAACAGGGGTAATAAATAACAAAGAACATAAACAGAAATAACAGGGCTTTGAGTGCCATGATGATCTGAGTGTTAGGCTTGCATCTGTTAAAGGGCAAATGAACCTGGTCCACATGGACAGCTGTTAAAAATGCCTATCTTCCTTCCTGGGAGCCAGCTCTAACTATGGCTAACATGATACTATGGAAGGTGAATAGAAGATTCTGTGGTTGGCCTTAGTGTGTTAATTATCCCAAAACAATTTAGAATCTTTATTGGTGAGAAAGTAATTAGTATTTTCCTAAATTCTTACAGCGTATGAATTGACTGACAAACTTACAGATCTTAGGGGAATAAAAACAGGTGTTGCTCCAGCCATTCTCACCATGGGCTCATAGCAGTCGTAGAAAGGCACTATTATTATGACCTGAAATAAAAGCAGTTAAGAACACAGCATGTCAATCATTAATTCATTCACAAGTACTAGGTACATCCTATGTGCAAGGACATTTCTATATTGAGATGCCAAAGAGAAAGCAGTTTTTATCTTCATGGAACTAATGTCTAAATGAAAGAGACCTTGGATTTAATTGTTTGTTTGTTTGTCTTTTTGAGACAGGGTCTTCATAGGCAGCTCAGGCTGGCCTTGAGCTCACTTTGTAGTCCAGGCTGGCCTTGAACTTGCAATGATCCTCCTGCCTCAGCCTCCTGAGATGCTGGGATTACAGGTGTGCACCACCACGCCTGGCTGAGACCTTGGATTTAATCTTGTCAAAAGAGTCTAAACTGGGAATTTTGGGGTTTTTTGTAGATCTGTGGATGGGCTTGCAGTGGATCTGCTTGAAATGGGAAAATTTTACATGTGCATAGATAGATATATTTGGGGAGGGCTGGGGATGTAGCTCAGCGGCACAGCGCCTGCCCAGAAAGCTTGAGGTCATGAGTTTGATTCTCGGTACAAAAAAAGATATATTTGGGGAGAGAGCCCATACCTCTCACTACATTTTCAAAGGGATGTTTAACCAAAATCATAATTTATCTTTATTTTAAGTTAGAAGGTAGAATGTATGATATATGATATTTTACACAGTGACAGGAGCAGGGCTGTATAGAAAGAGAACGTTGCAATGCTCTGGCATGGAGCCCTAATTTACAAGCATTATCCTGAGAGTGAAGACGTTTCCCCTCAGAACATCCCATAGCAGACAGCAGATGCAGGAAGCCAAGCCGGGAGGCCTTTGTTTGTGTCTGACACCAGCGACTGCCCTCCAGGTGCCCTGTATCTGGAGTCTGTTGATTTCCCCTAGTCTTCTGGATACACTCCCTGCCCGCTGCCCTGCAAGCTTGCCCCCAGCGCCTCCTGGTGGACTTTGAGCTGAGGACTAGTGCAGCTGGCCCAGCCACCCCACCAGGCTCATACAGTATCCCACTTGGCTATTCTACAGGGTGAGTTTGAACACATAATTCATAGCCATCGTATACACTCAATTTTCCTTTCTACTTTTTGAAACCTACCAATATTCCATGAAACTTTCATGCTATTATGCTTTTCATATTTATTGTTTTAAAGGTCATGTGAGAGTCTACTGAATTTTAGAATGCTTGTCTTACAGTTCATTTGTATAAATAACAGTACTGTATTTCTGTGTGAGCAAGTAGTTCTCTATTTTTCAAATAATTTGTTAAGTAAAGTGATTAACTTCACACATACTGCTACATGTAAATTATAGAATATAAACATAGTGTCTTGCTGTGAAATTCAGGCAGACTTTAATTTGTTATGTAGTGGAGGCTGTCCTTGGACTCAGGGCAGTCCTCGTGCCTCAGCCTCCCAAGTGCTAGGATTACAAGTGTGCACCACCACGCCCTGCTGTTGGATGAAATTACTAGTAAAAAATTGCTGTTTTAAATGTCACTTGCTACTCTTTATGTTTCTTATGATGTAAAATACCTTGTCAGTGTCTTTCTGAGGGGAGGCACTCATCCTAAAAGCCCCTTTGTACTAATCATTCAACTCACACTGAGGCTGAAAAAGTTCAATCAGCAAGTTTGGAGTCAGGAACTGTGGAGGACAAAGAATGAACCAGGAATGGGTCCTCACCTCAAGCAGACTGGGACGTCTTCATCTGTGAGGCTCTTAGGGACTCAGGGGACCTACCTGAATTACTTGGTGGAGACATAGAGCCCAGAAGAAAGTGACAGCACTATCTAGGAAAATGACTAGGGACAGGGGCAGTACAGTGGAAAGAACCCAGCTGATGCCCTTCACCTTAAATTTTTTACTTTGTGGTGGGATAATTCCCTTCTTTTTTTTGATGAGTGCTTTTTGAGCACTTATTATTTGAGGCCCTGCCTCTCAGCTGAGTGTGGTGGCACATATCTACAGTCCCAGCACTCTGAGAGGCTGAGACAGGATGATAGCAAATTCCAGCTCAGGGGAGCACTCAAGAACTTAGCAAGACCGTGTCTCAAAATAAAAAAAGGGTCAGGGATATAGCTCAGTGTGACGACCCTGGGTTCAATTTCCAGTACCACCAAAACAACAACAACCTCCCCAAACTAAAGAAGCCAAAATTCTCCCAGAATCTATATCTTAGAGATTTATGGTGAAAGAGAAAACAAGCCGCTAAATTAGGTAACTTCAGAGGGTCGTGTGCTACGGATAAAATGAAACGGGACTGTGTAAAAGAAAATGACATGCATGCAGTTCCAAAATATTAAAGTGCAGGGGCTGGGGATTTAGCTCAGTGGCAAAGCACCTGCCTGGCAAGCGCAAGGTCGTGAGTTCGGTTCCTGGTACCAGAGAAAAACCAAAAAAATAAAATAAAATAAAAAACAAAATATTAAAGTGCTCAGGGGAGAAAGACTAGAGAAAAGAAGGCAAGGGCTGAACGCTGGGATATTTTCACAGAGTACTGAGGAGGAGAAGCAGCACAGGATTAACAGGAAAATATGAGGAAACATGATAGGATTAAAGGAGATTATGTATATGAAAGTGTGACTGTAAATTCTGCACATGTTTCCTACAAAAGCCTTTTGTCTGGTACATGGAGGGAATTACAGATGTGAACATAACAACGTAAAGTAGGTGGAGGTAGCTTTTATAAAAATAACATGATAAAGAATCATGAGTTCCAAGTAAGTTAACAGTATAGATCAAGATAAATATTCTCACTTCAGACGCAGCTCCAGAAATGCCTCTTTACAAATCTGTCTTCTCTATTAGATAAGAAACCCCTTCCACACAGAAACTATTTTTTAAACACCTCTCTCAGAGTGCCTGGCATACTGGAGAGTCTCAGTAAATTCTGGGTAAATGAAAGAGATCAGGAAATATTACAGCAGGGATATTAGCAGGGGTAAATGAGTGAGGTAAGTACCGGCGCTGGTCCTGCATCACAGCGCTATGTGGTAGAAATGGCCGGGCCTTCCGGTTACATTTGCACTGCTAATGTGATACCCACATGAAAAGAAACAAGAAGAACAAACACTTGCTGCTCGAGTTCAGATTAAAGGTTATCTTAGCAGTGAAGACAAAGGATTCTTTTCCCTTAACCTTGCTAACCTACTTCCACCTCCTTTTATCTAAGTAGGCTATAAAAATAAGAACAAACTAATGCAATACAATGGATGATACTAATAGGCAGTATAATGAGAAATGACAGAAGCCAGACCCAAGAGCGGATTCTATTTATGTCAGATAAAAGGGCAGTGAGAACAAACCCGTGGTGACAGAAGACAGACTAAGAGGAGAACAGAGAGGAAGAGAGGAAGCAAAAGGAGCCTGTCCGGATGGCGGAAATGTACAGTATCTTTATCTGGGTTTCAGTCACGTGGGATTTTATCCCGTTGCACATTTAAGATTTGTTAACTTCATAGTATATGCACCAGAATTCTAAGACACTTTGAAATAGAAAGAATACAAACTAAGTGGAAGATTCAAAGATGGGGTGAGTGACAGGGTTTAACACAGACAATCCAATAATGGCAATGTACTTACTTCATCTCCTTCATCAACTAACCCTTGAATGGCATTAAAAAGAGATCCATACGCTCCTACTGTCACAAGGATTTCTTTATTTGGGTCGATTTGATTTGGATAAAATTTTTCGTATAGGCTGGACAGGGCTTTCACAAGTGACGGATGACCCTATTGGATTAAAAGATAAGAAATAAACCAATTGAAATAAACCCACCGCTTTGGGTTAATATGGCTCTAAAATGTAGAATTTTAAAAATTTGTATTGATAGTTGTAGTTATTCAGAGAAAAAACTTTTTTTAGAGAAGTTCTCTTTATCTTATCCAGGCTGGTCTTCTGTTCTCCACCTTCCTGCCTCATTCTCTGGAGTGCTGAGATTACAGGTGTGTCTTACCAGACCCAGTGGAAAATTTGTATTTTTAAATGGAATTTAATTGAAAAATATTTTTCCTAACTCCTAATATGAAGTAATGGAGACTTGTTAATGATGAAAAGTTACTTCAAAACAAAAGGTTTGAGAATACATAATTATAAAATATTTGAATAGAAATGAACTTCTAGTAGTTTTTTTTTTTTTTTTTTTTGAGGGTCTCATTATGTAGCCCAGGCTGGCCTCGGACTCATGGCAATCCTCCTGTCTCAGGCTCCCGAGTGCTGAGATTACAAGCGTGTGCCACCACACTCAGCTTTATTTTATTTTTTGAGGCACCTATTGTTTCCATAGGTGCTACACTAATTTATATGACCATCAATAGCATCTAAGAGCTTTTTTTCTTCTTATCCTTGCCAGCATTTGCTATTTTTGCTTCTGTGACAATAGCCATTATGATTGTGCTAAGATGACTTATTATGGTTTTGTTTGGCACTTTTCTGATGATGTTGAGCATTTTTCCATATATATACATATACTTTTTGGCCATTCTTTCTTAAAATGTCTATTCAGCCTGGCATGGTGGTGCACACCTGTAACCCCAGCACATGGGAAGCTGGGAGGCAGGAGGATTGCCTTGAGTTCAAGGCCAGCCTGGGCTACATAGCAAGACCTTGTGTCAAGAAAAAGAATGTCTATTCAGTCCCTTTATCCATTTTTTTTTCATTTTAAAGAGAGTAGTACATGAGAAACAAACCAACAAAAAAATAGAACAGCAGCAGCATACCAGTATCACGAACATAAACAAATCAAAGCAACAACATTCAAAGTGATACAGCGTCTCAAGACAAATTAACACAAATCAACAGTGGTTGTTACCTTGCATATTGCTATCCTCAGCTACATTGCTCAGATTATCAGATGTAAGAATGAAAGACTACTCAAACCATTAAAGAGAATAAGGAAATAATTCTTGAGTAAAACCTTAGAGATAATACAGAGTTCCACTAGACAAGATGGTAGGAGTTCACCACTGTAATCCATTGCATATTGTTACCTTCAAATCAGTTGCTCAGACCACCAGACACAAGCATGCAAAGTCGATCAGAACATAAAAAATTGTGAGCATTAACTGTTCATTTCAATACACCATCAGACACCAGCAATACAGTCATTGCAGCTATTTATATATATATTTATGTTTTGCCTTCCTTCTTTCTTTGATCTTCTTTCCCTCATCCCAGTTGTTCCTTCCTTTGAGCAATTTCTTTCCCTTTCCTATCATCTGCTGTATGTTTTGAGTTTTACCTAGTCTTTCAGGTTCCTACACCAATGAGACAATAAGATCTTTACACATGTGGGTCTGATTTATTTCACTTATGAGTATGGTCTCTAGTTGCATCCATTTACCTACAAAAGCCTCAAGTTTATCTTTTTTAATAGCTGAGTAATAATCCATTGTATAGAAATACCACAACTTCTTTATGCATTCCTCAGTGGATGGGCATCTGTGTTGTTTCTAAGATTTAGCTATAACAAACTGTGCTGCTATAAACATGGGTGCACATATATCACTGTGGTATGATGTTTTTAATTCTTCTGGAAAAATACCCAGAAGGGGAATAGCTGGGTTAAAGGGGACTTCTAATCCTAGTTTTGTGAGGAATCTCCAAATTGATTTCCACAGTGGTTTCATCAATCTACACTCCCACTAGCAGTGGAGTAGGTTCCTTTCTCCCCATAGCCTCTCCAGCATTTGTTAGTGCTTGATTTCTTGATGATAGCCATTCTTTCTGGGGTAAGATGGAATCTCAGTGTTGTTTTAATTTGCATTTCTCGAATGACTAATGACATTGAACATTTTTTCATGTATTTATTCACCATCAGTATCTCTTCCTTAGACCTTTGTCCATTTTTAAATTGGACTGTACTGTTTGTTGGTTCCTTTCTCTCAGTAATGTTTTACAGTTTCAGTGTACTGACCTTGAACATACATATTTAAAAATTTAGTCCTACATGTTTAGATATTCTTGTAAATGTTATTTAAAAAATTTACTTTCCAATTTTTCACTTTCTGTACATGGAAATAAAATTGCTTTCATATATTGGTCTTGTGTCCTGCAACCTTGTGCAATTCTTTCATTAGTTATACTAATTTTGTAGCACCTCTCTGTAGGTAGCAGCTGAAGCTAGACAGTTGATTCCATGTAAGTAACAGAAACATACACACACACAACACCACGTAAACTCTAAGCTCATGCCCCTTGCGTTCCTGATGTACTTACAAAGCCCCGCGTGTACTGATTCAAGTTATCAACTAATGCAATCTTTGATAATGCTTCTTTTACATATGTTGGAGGTGATATATCTGGAAGGCCTTGGCCAAGATTCACCACGGAGGGATCTGCAGCCAACTTGGTAAATTCAGTCCTAAGATTAGGGACAAAAAACACAAAAAACCCCATAAAAAACCAAAAAATCCCAAAATATTGATATTGATAAGCACTACACTTACAAAGTTTGCTTTTTATGTCACATGGTCTTACCACGAGATTGAAAAATAGAGACTTAGTTTGACCTTACAAATTGAGAGTTCCCAATAAAAAGTTAGAAGACCCATGCCTGTATTTCCAGCACTTGAGAAGCTGAGGCAGGAGGATTGTGAGTTCAAGCCCAGCATGAGCAACTAGGCAAGACCCTGTCTCAAAATAAAAAAATAAAAAAAGGCTGGGTGTGGTTTAGTGCAAAGGCCCTGGGTTTGATTTTCATTACTGAAGAAAAAACAATTAGCCCCCATAAAATGAATCTACCTAATAAAATGATGGCTGAATTCATGAACCTAAGGCTCCTTACACGTCTCAATTTCATGATACCCATATTTTAACCATACACACCCCCCGCCACCTTTAACCATTTCCTATCTGTGGCTATGTTCTCTTGTCAACTGTTAGGAAGCAGAAGTAATGAGAAAAGTCCATAGTTCAGAAGGTAAGGTGCAGACCAACCTTGTTCTCCCTCCGCTCCATGCCCAGTTGTGGCACAGAGCACGGTGCACTGGGGAAGTTAATAAATCAGTGTTTGGGCTGCTCCTGGCCTTTCTGTCATTTAATGGATAAAGCAGGTAAGTGGCTCTAGTTCTGGACTACAGATGAAGCTACAAATTCCCAACTAAGGACATAAAAATATGGAGGACATTCTCACCAAATGATTAATGTTTTAAGATACTCACCACACATTGCTATCAAGTCCTTCGATGCGTTTTGCATTTTTCAGTTTCGAAGACATTTTCTGAAAAATGTAAATATTAAATGATTTTTAAAAATTCTTTAATCAGAACTTGAAAGGTCAGTAAGCCGTGGGTCATTCTTCCCTTTCCTATCATCAGCATATACATAGGAGGACCACAGAGGTGAGTTCTAGAGTCCAAAACAACAATCTGAGGAAGAGCCCATCTCTCTGTGGCCGTTCTAAAGAATGATTTTTGTGCATGTTCTTGCCTAGCTTAAAGAAGTAATCATTTCAAAGGCTTGCAGTGTGCTAAGGAGAACAGGAATATTGTTTTTAAAAAGTCAGGTTAAAAAATATCTTGAGCTATGCTTTGAAGAAAGTAAAATATACTAAGAGTTCACAAGAAAGTTCCTTGCATGGCATACAGTAAGCACTCAAGAAATGGTTTTTATTTTCATTTTATTTGTAAAATTAAATTTTTTGAGACAGGGTCTTGCTATCAGGTTCAGGCTGGCCTTGAACTCACTATGTAGCCCAGGCTGGCCTTGTGCTTTTGGTGATCCTCATGCCTCAGCCTCCTGAGTGCTGGCATCACAAGTGTGTGCCACGATGCCTGACAACAAATGATTTAACAACTACTCACTAAGGGGTTTCAAGTAATAGTAGTTAATATGACTAAGTAGTGATTGTATACCAGACACTGTTCCATGTGTTTCAAATAATTTACTTTGCTAATATACATGTTAGCTGTTATAAGCGACTCTGATACATGAACAAAGTGAAGCACAGGGAGGATTAAGACCACACAACTTTTCACATCTGCCCAAGTTCATAAAAGTAGTAAGCTCCAAACCCAAACAGGTTTACCTGGATTCGAATCCACTGTCTGACTGCAGAACCTATATACATAACTATTGTCATCTACCGTCTTACAAAACAAGACTTTCTAAAAATATGACCCAAATACTGTCTCTTAAAAGTATCCTAGTAGTTTAGATCGGGTCTGCTCATACTGAACAAGCTAAAGCTGTGGAAGAAAAATATTAGAAGTTATAATTATCATACAGCATATACCTTTTAGTTCTCCAGATTCTAAAATTAATTATGTTCTATCTCTCAAAAGTATTGAATGAGTTTTGGGTTCATTATTAAGAAGCTGGTGGAAATAAGAAAATGATTGACAGCATTTTTGCACAGAATTTTATAATAGAATATGAAAGGCATTTTAATTCAATCTGGGAGGAAGATAATGATAATGGTTATTAAATCACCATTGTTCTCATTCTATTCCCAATAATGGGACAAAAAATGGCTTTTCAGTTTTCTATTTTTCATCTTTGAAACCCCAGTGAAGTAAATCACATGCATATTCTCTGCGGGTCAAAGTGCCTTCTGGCATAGCATCACCATTAAGTCCCACCTGAACACGGTGCTACTCCAGAGACTAACAATTCAACACTAAAGAGTCCCTGCAAGACAGAAAAAAAGATATTTTAACAAATGCCATTTCCTATCTGAAACAATACCGAGAGCTTAATGATGCATTCCATATGACCGCAGACGCAAAGTGTAGATTCATGCATAAAAATGCCAGCACACTGTGGTGGGAGATAATCAGACACGGAGTACAATTTTACTTAACATTCAGAGGGTTAAGGTCTCAATGCAGTTGGAGATTTGCGTTCTTTAAAATCTGTACCCAGAGCAGCCTCTTCTGTTTCTGCTGCCCGAGCTTCTCCCTCCTTCCCAATGCTTTGTCTCCACCACTCTACTTTCTCAGAAAGTCTTCGTTGCCTCTCACTTCTGTATGTAATGTTTTCCTCTGCCTAAACAGTCTAGCTCTGCAGTCTCTTTTTCATCATTGCTCCTGTAAGGGGCATCTTTACACATCTCCATATCAAGGAAACAGTAAGGAACAGGATTTTCTCAGTAAGTTTAAGCTTTGAACGGTCATAAGACATTATAATAGCTAATATTTATTTAGCCTGACAAGTACCCATTTTCTTTTCCCTAGGGGTGATAATGCCTTTGTTGAGAATGCGGTTTTTTTGTTTTGTTTTGTTTTTGAGACAGGCTTTACCTATGTAGTTCAGGCTGGTCTTGAATTCATTAGATAGCCCAGGCTGGCCTCTAACTTGTGGTGATCCTGCTGCCTCAGCCTCCCAAGTGCTGGGATTACAGGCATGCACCACCATAGCCAGCTGAGAATGTGTATTTTCTACTCAACCCAATCTCCTGGTCCCCATCACCTGGTCCCATGCCTGGCTAATGTGGATCTCACCTGCCACCTCCCATTCTCGAGTTAGATGTCATTTCCTGCAATCTTCTCTGATTCCCCAGATCAAGGTCCTCCTATGTGGTCTCATTAAATGCAACACTTTCTAAAGTTTCACATAGAGTGGAAGCTTCTACTTATTTCTATCTGCCCTGAGAATGTGACAATAGCTTGTTTTGTGGACATGTGTAGCTAGTAGGTTTCTCCAGGGAAAGAACCAACGGGATGAGTCAGAAATTTATTTTAAGAAATTGGCTCATGCAATTGTAGGGGTGGCAAGTGTGAACCCTACAGAGCAGATCATGGACTCAGGAAAGAATTGTAATTTGAGTCTAAGGCAGAATCCTCTTTACTAAGGTGTCTTGGTTACTTTTCTCTCGTTGCTGGGACAAAATACCTGACACCCAAAATTAAGGGAGGAAAGGTTTTTTTCGCTTACAGTTTGTGGAGTTTTCAGTCCATACTTGGCAGATTACAAGGCAGAGTGGCACATGGCAGAGGGCTACAGCTCATGGTGTCGGAACACAGCAAAGCAACAAGCACAAAAGCCAGGAATGGCCGCAAGCAGCCTCTTCCTCTCCCTTACATATGCAAACTATCCACCCCAGGGCGGTGTAGCTCTAACACCCATAATCAATCAAACTCTAAAAGCCTGCCCCATGACCACATGAGGCTTTGGGGGGACACACTGACACACACCATAACATAAGGTCCATCCATATCATGGGAGATAATCTACTTTCTGAAGAGTCTACTGATTTAAATGTAATCTCATCTAAGAAACACCTTCCCAGCAATTCCTAGATTGGTACATTACTAAATATCAGAGTATGGTGGCCTGGCCAATGCACTGTTCTACACCTAGCACATGGTGAGCTTTCAGTGAATATCTGATGAGTGAATTAATAAAATCCCCTCCTATTAGGAGGGAAGTTCTGATATCACCCAATTTAAATCTGGTACTTTTTGTCAGTCAGCTTGTGCTATTTTAGGCTGCCAAAACCATGATACCAAAGTCCTGATGGCTTCAAATCACAAAGGCTTATTCTTTGCTTATAACGTTATCACCACTGTCATTCTGAGACACAGACTGATGAAAATGCCTATCGGGAGCTCAGCCTATATTAAGGAGAAGAGTTTCCACTTGGATATACCCAAATCATTTCTACTAATATTTTACTGGTGAAAGTGATTTCAAGGCTAAGCCACAGGACACGCCTATCTAACCACCCAGTAGGGAGGAGCAGCAAATAATTGTGAAAGGCAGCACAGAGAAATGAAGCCTGAATATATAATCAGACAGGTGGTTGTTACAGGCTGAACTGTGTCACTTCAGTTCCACACACCGATGTCCTAATTCTCAGTGCCTCAGAGCACGGCCTTATTTGGAAATGGTGTCGGTGGAGATGGAATGAGTTAAGATGAGGTCATTAGGGTGACAACTTGACAACTCGTGTCCTTAGCTAACAGGGAAGTCTTGGCCCAAGGACACACAGAGAACATTACATGCAGGCAAAGGCAGAGATTGGTGTGATGATTCCGCAAGCCAAGGAAGGCCCAGGATCAACAGGACCTCACCAGACGGCAGGGTACAGGGAGTGGACAGTGTTCCTTAAGGTCCCCGGTAGGAGAAGACTCTGCTTTCATTTCGATCCCAGGATTTTAGCTTCTGGAACTGCCAGGTAGTAAATGTCTGTTGTTTAAGCACATTAGTTTGTGATATCTTGTTAAAGAAATCCAGGGAAACGAATTTGCTGCTGAATGTTACAAGACACCTTACAAAGCCCAAAGAGACCCAGATTCAGCAGGAGATGTAAATGCTTACTGTATACAAACTACCCAGCATAGACCCATCACCAGGAAATAAATTCCCCTGGAATTCTGAGTCCTAGGGATATAAAGAAACATGTGCAAGGCTTGTATCATGTTTTGAACCCAGTTAATCTGAAGAGGTGACTTTTGCCATAGGTCACGCGCCTGGCCCAGTCATAACGTTCTGCTGTATTATCCACGGCAATTACAGTGAAATCAGAAGCAGCTTCATCTTTTGTTAGTTTGGAGGAAGGATGCAGTTCTAAAAATCCACCACAAGGTGGCATGAACGACAAACATAAGGAAAATTCTATTACATCTTTAAAATGTTTGCACCAAAGGTACTAGAACAAGTTGGGAAATATGAAAAAAAAAATTATACCATATGTATGTGTGTGTGTGTGTTTTGAGACATAGTCTCACTATGCAGTTCAGGCTGGCCTTGAACTCACTATGTAGCCCAGGCTGGTCTCTAATTTGTAGACATTCTCCTGCCTCAGCCACCCGAGTGCTGAGATTACAGGTGCACACCAATCCACCCAGCTGAACTATGCTTGTTTTAAGGAAGTTGTGCATAAGACTTCACAGGTAGGTGGGATAGGACAGGTATTGAAAAATTTTTCCTAAATGGTGGGGTCAAGCTAGAGAAATCAAAGGTTTTTTATATCTATATATTATGACTATCAATCAAGTCTTTATCCAAAGAAAACAAGATCACAGCCCCAAAAGGTAATTGTATGAACACGTGTCAAGAAAAGGCTAGAAATGGAATTAGGTAAACCACAGTGTGTGTGTGTGTGTGTGTGTGTATTAATGTTTCAACTGGGGTGTGATGATAGGTAGTATTTCTGGACTTCTCAGCATTTCCTAATGCCTTTTTTGTTTCAAACGCAGATTTAGTTTTAACAGAAGCTCGGTCCTGCATTTTCTGCCCTGTGTTGTTTCTGCGGTGCAGCGGGACTCTGTGGGCTGC